AATTTCCCACTGGGATGAATAAAGTATCTATCTATCTGTCTATCCATCTATCTATCTACAGTAATGCTTGAAAGTTTGTGAACCCTTTAGAATTTTCTACATTTCTGCATAAAAATGACCCAAAATATAATCAGATTTTCGCACAAGTCCTGAAAGTAGACAAAGAGAACACAATTCAAACAAATGAGACAAAAATATATATATTTTCTTGTCATTTATTTATTCGGGAAAATGATCCAATATTACATATCTGTGAGCGGCAAAAGTATAGCCGCGTTTCCACCTAAATTACCCGGAACAATTATACCAGGAACTTTTTTCCCCCCAGACCGGTCAAGTATGCAAATTTCGGATCCTCGGTAGTTTGGACTTCGCGAGTTCGACTCAGGAGTGTGAACTCCCGCGGACGGGACGACGCAAAGAGAAAGTGGGTCATGCAGCAAGACAACGACCTCAAGCACACAAGTCGTTCTACCAAAGAATGGTTAACCCCTTAGCTGTCACCCCCATTTTCAGCATGGAGACACAAATGACATACCCAAAATAAAAAGGTTGCTGCTCATGAGTCTTTTTGACTAGATACATAATCAGCATATGTTCACAAAGCTGACACTTCAAAGTTTACTGTTCAAGAATCAGAATTACTCCGACTGTTATGATAATAAAGATATATAACCTCAAAGATGAAAACGAAAATAAAAATATTAAAAACATTTTTTAAATGTATAAAAAAATATGTTGCTGTAGGATATGATTTTAGAAACACAATGAAGCTAAAGTCACAAGTCTACTAATGCATTACAAGGTTTACCAAGCCACATCACTTCAATCTCAGTATACATTTACCGGCCTATTATCAAAAGTATTTCTAAACAAATACAACAAAACATTTTCTTACGACCGTACATGAATTATTATGACAAAATACATCATGAAGAAGAGCTGCACCTGTTCTGCAGCTGCATTAGAGCTAACATTAGCATCAAGCTACATTAGACAATTTATGAGATTATTAGAATACTTTTACTCAAAACTCACTTTAAACCACCATCGAGTGTTTGTAATAACTTCCTTTTGCGATCTCATGTGGAATTTGGTCATTTACTGTTGTAAAAATATGCTATTTATAGCCTTTTAAATCGCTGCACAAATTAGCATTTCAGATATACACATTCATTATTGTTATGAAAATACCCCAAATCTCAAGAAAATCACATACAAACCATATACTATCGTAATCGTGTGTTTATTATTTGGATATTTCATGGGTATTATCTAGGCAGAGGCTATCTGCTGGATTCTCTCCAATAATTACGCAATCCCTTACCCCATCCACTTTTTAGACTATTTTTGATTATCTCGCCTCCCGGCTCCATCCCAGCCACGCATCTAGAATTATATAGAGTTATATCGAGTTATCCTCTAGTCGCTGCAGCGGTGGCCCTGTGGGGGAAAGAATGGTCCACCACCTGCATCGTAGCACATTGCGATAACGAAGCGGCCGTGCATTGCATCAATAAAGGCCGGTCCCATTGCCCTGCATTAATGCCTTTTCTACGATGTCTCATTTGTACTTCAGCCTGGCACTCCATGCTCACCATCACCTCATTCATCTCCCATCTCAACGCCAACGAATAACTCCAAGCCTGCTCCATAAAAGGCTACCTAATAATTTAATTTTTCCACAAGCTCATATTTGGCTCACCTTCCCCAGAAATAGCCAGCTCACAGACATCCATGCTCATCAAAGGCATCCAAAGAGCCCAACCCACCCGCCCAGATGCTAGACAGCCAATAAGTCTAGATATCTTAACCAAATGCATTTCCACCCTCCGCAGAGGCTACCACTCCATTCACAACGCCCACACGCTCGACGCCATTTTCATATTGGCCTTCTTTGGTTTCCTCAGATGCTCGGAACTCACCATCACGTCCAGCTTCAATCCAAAAATCCACCCAACCTTATCAGACCTATCAGTGCTAGATACCAAATCGATCTCTTATTCATTAAGCAAGCAAGACAGACAAACTGAAAAGAGGCCACTTCATTATATCTTCAATCTCCAGGCACTAATCCAACCATACAAACCCTCCTAGCCTACCTGCATTACAGAAGCCCGCAGGCTAAACTCCTGTCTGACCCGCTTTTGTCGATGACTTTAATCACCCCGCCACACGTTCTGGTTCCAAAAACACCTCAAGTCCATTCTACTGCTATCCGGCATCCCAGCAGATCATTACTCCAGCCACTTCTTCCGCATAGGCGCAGCTACCACAGTTGCCCAAAAAGGCCTCTCCCAGCCTCATATCCAGGCACTCAGCGGCTGGACGTCAGAGGCCTTTAAGACCTACATTCGGTCAGACTGCTTCCATATCAAAGAAGCTCACCGAACCCTCATCAGCTGAGTCCTTTAACATTAGCTCATTTCCACAGGAGCAGTGCCCGCTTCCGCAGAAGCCACATTCTCTCTTCAGATGCCAAAGCGGTACCCAGGAGCCAAAGTTTCTTTTCAGATATCACAGAAGTGCCCGCTCCCGCAGGAGCCTATATCTTTACTTCCCACTGCCGCAGCAGTGCCTGCTTCCGCAAAAGCCACTTTCTCTCTTTAGATGCCACAGAGGTACCCAGGAACCAGAGTTTACCGCAGGAGCCTGTATCTCTACTTCCCACTGCCGCAGCAGTGCCCGCTCCCAAAGGAGCTTGTATCTCTTCCAACTGCTGCAGCAGTGCTCGCTTCCGCAGAAGCCACATTCTCTTTTCAGATACCACCACAATGATTCTACTCCAAGCGACGTCCAGCACCCCACCAACCTTAAGTTCTGCAAGTTTTGGGGGTTATCAATGCCCCACTCTGGCTATGGTCCCGTGCTAATTGCATCTTTTGGGGGGAGAGCTCTGGGTCCGGGCTAAATGCCGAACTCAGACCCCTCTCCCCGGACAGGGGGAGTACCCCGGGTTCGGGAGGAATTACCGAGCTCAGAGCCCTCTCCCCGGACAGCACGCCAAATATGCATAACCTTTACTCTGTTTATTATATGTAAGTGTGAACTCTTGAAATTATGTTTTATTAACAAAGTTCGGGAGGAGCACGTTCAGATAATTAACCCGGCCAATTCATCATCAGCAATTACACCATCGTACTGGATTCGGGTGACTGCAGTGACCATCTGATCTGGATACAGACTGGATCTGGTCGCTACAGTGACCTTGGAGTAAGAAAGAAACAGACTAAAATTAGCGTAAATGCCATTCTTCTAACGATGTAGCAAGTACATCGGGCGTTATGGGAAGTGTTCCCGGTTCCGGTTGTCCTAATTAATGCAGCCTAACAATCCTTTAACGGATTTGAATATTAAAGTGCCAAACATCAGAAACTGAATATTGTTCCATAAAAAGATGTATGATTTTAGAAGGTTTAGACTGAACAAAGGGCCTGGTTGATTACCGGTCTAATACAGAATTTAGACAGCAGTTAAAATAGCCCCCTAATATCAGCTGTCTAGCATCTAAGTCTGAGAGTGAGAATACAAATCTCAGAAAAAAGGCATCATTGTCTTAATTAGGGCCATATACAGTACATTACCCAAAATTAAACAAGTACCACATAGCTGACCAGTGACAATAACAAAACTTCCATTAGGGTCCGAGATTACATCTCCGCCAGAAAAAGGCACAGATCTATGAATAAGAATAGCAACACCTCTGGAATTACTGGGAAAATATTAATTATACAGCTTACCCTCCCATCCGGTTCGAATTTTAAGATGCAGCCCTTCCAGGTATTTATATACACATTTTAACTTCTCACCAACAAGCGCCGCATAATTCACAACACGTATGTATGCACATGAATTTGTTCTTAACCTTATTCTTGTATTGATGAATAGGATGTATTCTAAATGAGCCGCCACGTGCACAAGATTAGTAATTTGCATAAAACACGCCCAAACCAGCTCCATATAAGGGCTTTCCACAACAGAGCGCTTGTCTCGAGAAACAAGTATGTCACAACAGAAAAGACCAAAAAGAAAAACTTCACTGATAATGAACGGGAAGTTTTGCTGTCAGAGGTGGAAACCTGAAAACGTGTGCTGTTCAAAAGTGTGTCCACAGGCATAACAGGTAACGAAGAAGCATGGGATGCAGTAAAGCAGGTCGTTAATAGTTTCACCAGAAATTTGTACAGTTGCAGAAGTAAAAAAAAAAAAAAAGTGGTTTGATATGAAGCTTGATGCAAAAAGAAGAATTTCACTTCAAAAAAGGAAAAAAGACACGGGTGGAGGGCAGGGGCCACCTGATCTAACTGACTTTGATGAAAGGATGGCTGGCTACAATAATAGGACAATCAAGCTTGAGAGGTCTTGCAGAAAGGAGTGAGGGGGAGAGTGACCTAATTAATACAGGAGCAAATACAACACGGTAAGTTTCATGAACCAAAAAAAACTATTTAGTCTAAGTAATGTATGTTTAAGTATTTTGCATCACAACAGCATCAAAATTCCACCGGCTTTTGCACACAGCAGATGGGAATGAAGAAGCTGAGGTCCAGCCGTCTACTTAGCAAGCACGAGTCCTGACCAACAAGGTGCTTGCTAGTCAAGATGCCCATTATTATTGCCATAAAAGATGTGGCAGCTGGTCTACGGGTTGCTAGCATTGCTTAGCAGTCAAATAAATACATCTGTTTGTGAATAAATATTTACGTCAACGTCAACTCTTACATGTTGATGTTGTATCACACTATAGACATTGTATCAGTTGAAGGCGTGCTTGGAGCGCTGCTTGGGCAGCAGGAGCGTTCATCTGCATCTCGTCACACACAGGTTCAGGCTGGGCTTGGGGTTCACCCTGTGCCATTGTGATGTTGTGCATGCTAAATGCTAAAACAATTTGACAGACTTTCTCCAGCTTGTATAAGAGCATTCCACCAGCTGCATCCAAGCACATCCAATGTGATTTGAGTAACCCGATTGTGCGCTCTATCACTGAGCATGCACAGTCATGTTTCTGGTTCCTGAGGGGTCATGAGCCGCGTTTTTAGACCATAACCCCGGTCACCTACAATAACCATTATGATAATTAACATGTAAATTAATTAACTGTATAAAATATTCTGGGCGTGTACGTCTACTCACCAAGAAGCCATCCTTCTCTGCCAGCTCCAGCTTCCAAGCGCTGTCCTAAATAATTGTTCTGTAAAATGACAGAATCGTGAGTTCCTTCATGCCAGCGTGCAACAACGTTTAGTATGCTGCAACTCGCATCGCAGACTATTTGAACGTTGATGGAGTGATACATTTTTCTATTCACATAGTTTATTGCATTTGCAGATGGTGCTTTGATACGCACGTGGCATGGGTATAGTCTATTGCACCAGTGGTATTAGGTATGCCACTCATCTCGTAGAACCCCCTAACTACCATCTGGTGTGTCAAGTAATAAGGAAATTTTACATGTGTAGTCATAAGCCCTATAATAGCTTTTACCACCTTGTGAATGGCACGGCCCTGCTCGGTCCCCTAGTTCCCTTTGGAATGTTCCTGTGGCAAGGAATCCAATGGCAGCTAGAACTTGGAGATGAGTTGCTATAGTCAAGTCAAGTCTGCTTTATTGTCAATTCTTCCACATGTACAGCACATACACACAGAGAATTGAAATTGCGTTACTCTCAGACCCTTGGTGCATACAGATAACACTAACAGTAGAACATAAATACAGATAGATACAGATTAAATATAAAATACAACTAAAAATGTAATGCGCAGCGCAGTAATGCGCAGCGCAGCGCTGACCTCATACGTCATCCCCCCGGAACTGCTTCTGTGTACAACTGCTGGCGCAAGCTAGATTAAAGTGATTATTACGTTTTGAATATGGATATTTTTCTTACAAAAATGCATCGATTCGCTACAGGAGGCCTTTGTTCCCCCCCCCCCGGAGCCGTGTGAGACACTTTTTTTTGTGGAAGGGTGCTTTTTATTTCAGGTCTTTTGAACCGAAGCACTGCAACACCCGCTGAGTACAACGATAGAGCTTGAAAGATCAAAGACAATTTTTAATAGAACTCCGACTGGATTCGTCTGAAAGAAGAAAGTCATACACACCTAGGATGCATCGGGGGTGAGTAAAACGCAGCCTAATTTTCATTTTGAGGTGAACTAACCCTTTAAGATGTTGTAACTGGAGAGGCTTTAAGGGTAGAACATACAAAGTTTATGGGAGAGCTCCGTGCAGCTGTCTGCTCCTTGCGTGCCATAAACGGAACCTCCTCAACACTTATATTTTTTACTTGATGCATTTTTTTTCAATTTTCATTTTTTTATCAATTTTTAATTGAATAAACATTTATCCATTTAATTAAATCTTTTTTATAGGGCCACAAAAAAAAAATGCAACAGTCAATAGGTAACATTTTACATTGTTATTAATTGGCAAAGGTAAATTGAGATTGTGTGTGTGTCCTCCCTGAATTATTTTCCTTATAGTAGATGAGTGTAGTGAAAACTGAGTATTATTTTTTTTCTCAGTGAAGACTCTTAATTGCAGGGCTATAGCTTGGGATTGTGAGCCCCAGAAAAAAACATTGATGTTTCACCGCCCTCAACTATTACCATATATGGCATAAGACATGGGCAACGTCCACATCTGATGCCATGTAACCTAATAGGGATTTCTTAAACAAAACACACTAATAAATAAATGAAAATAATAGTTTTTATTGGACATAAAAAGAGGACCACAATGGAAATAAGTATATGACTTTTTTTGTGTATTTTATAATCTGTATGAATTGTGTGGAGCATTCTTGTACATTTTTATAAAACTTATCTAAAAAGCAAACAAACAAAACCAAACATAAAGAAATTAATAATTTATACATTATTATTAAGAAATTATGCATTTATATATATGGGGGGGACACAGGTTGTGGCACAGGGATTAACTAGTAAACTTAAAAATGGCACCTCATGACATAAAGGTTGCTGACCCCTGGTTTAGGCTGACACTTTTTCCACACTTCTTGGGTGAACTCAAGTGACAGTTAAGGGATTTGTTTTGTTTGAAACTCTTTCCACACTGATCACATGTGAACGACTTCTCTCCGGTGTGAACTCTCATGTGATACCTGAGGTTTATTTTTGTTGTGAAGTTCCTTCCACACTGTTTGCAGGTGAAAGGCTTCTCTCCAGTGTGACTTCTAACGTGGAATTTAAGATGACATTTTTGAGAGAAGCTCTTTCCACATTGTTGGCAGGTGTAAGGCTTCTCTCCAGTGTGAATTCTCATGTGAACTTTAAGGTGTACATTTTCAGTGAAGCTCTTTCCACACAGTTTGCAGGTGAACGGCTTCTCTCCAGTGTGAATTCTCATGTGGCCTTTAAGATGTTCTGCTTGTGTGAAACTCTTCCCACACTGTTGGCAGGTGAAAGGCTTCTCTCCGGTATGAATTCTTGTGTGGATTCTTACATTTCTTTTGTCAATGAAGCTCTTTCCACAGAATTCGCAGGTAAAAGGCTTCTCTCCAGTGTGACTTCTCATGTGGACTTTAAGGTGTCCATTTTCAGCAAAGCTCTTTCCACACTGTTTGCATGTGAATGGCTTCTCTCCAGTATGAATTCTCATGTGAACTTTAAGATGTTGTTTTTGTGTGAAACTCTTTCCACACTGTTGGCAAGTGAAAGGCTTCTCTCCAGTGTGAACTCTCATGTGGCCTTTAAGGTGTCCTTTTTCGGTGAAGCTCTTTCCACACTGTTGGCAGGTGAAAGGCTTCTTTCCAGAGTGAATTTTTAAGTGCCTGTTAAGGTAGTCCATTTTTCTGAAGCTCTTTGAACACAGATTACATCTGAATGGCTTCTCTCCAGTGTGAGCTTTCATGTGCTTTGTAAGTTTTGTTTTACTGTTGAAACCTTTTCCAAACTGTTGGCAGGTGAAATAACTTCTAGTTCCAGTCTTTTGAGCAACGTTTTGTGAGGAAGTCTTTTCAGTCTGTGAGCAACTAAAATATTTTTCTCCATTTGTGAAATCATGTTTTCCATACTGATCTTTCTCTTCCATTTCATTTAGTTCTTGACTCTCCACTTTCAGTGCCATCATATCTAAAAAAAGACAAATACAAGTTAACCCCAGTTTAACGGCACCAAACAACAAACATCAAGGCATCAAAACAAAAAACATCTACACCAGATCATGTACCCACTGAGCTAATGAAAAAGGTGTTACCTGTAATATCAGAGCCTGTTCTCATTATGTTTAACCTTTTGCTTTCTTTAGGACACGTTACAAAATATTTTTTCATCATGTTTGTATTCTGTGTGTTCAGGAAACTGCTAAAGGTATTATGGAAATGGTTTGGAATGTTAGTAATACATTGGTAAAATGACAAAATTGTGTGTTTCTGTCCTAACAGGGAATAAGACATTAATAGTCTAATAAGTCTGAGGGTAATAAATGATCTCCTTGTTGCAGCAGATTCTGGGGCTTGTGGCATTTTGGTTTTGTTAGATCTCAGTGCTGCATATTCGATACCATTTGTCACACTATACTACTGGACAGATTACATAAGTGGATTGGTCTTTCTGGTGTAAAATGGTTTGAATCACATATTTTAGAACGCACTCAATTTGTCTATTCTGGTGCAAACAGATCTCAGACTGCTCCATTGCGGCAGGGTGTCCCTCAGGGGTCGGTATTGGGTCCTACTCTTTTTAGAATTTACATGTTGCTTCTTGGGCAGATTATTCAAAAGTATGGTGTGGGTTATCATTGCTATGCAGATGATACCCAGATTTACATTAGTACTCAACCTGATGTTACATCAGCACTTTCAACTTTATCTGCTTGTTTACTGGAAATACAGGCCTGGATGAAACAGAACTTCCTGCAGTTAAACTGTTAAAAAAACTGAAGTTCTATTGATTGGCACTTCAACTGCTGTAAATAGATGTAATAATTTTAAACTTACAGTGGATGAGTGCCAGATTCTCCCTTCTGTACAGGTGCGGAATTTGGGTGTGATTTTTGATGCACAGCTGACTTTTAACACTCATTTTAAGAATGTTACTAAAGTAGCTTTTTATCATCTTCAGAATATTGCCCGTATAAGGCTGTTTCTCTCTATGCCTGATGCAGAAAGGCTTATTCATGCCTTTATAACATCTAGGCTTGATTATTGTAATTCACTTGTTGCAGGTAACAAATTTGATTAGGAGGCTGCAATATGTGCAAAATTAAGCTGCTCGTGTTTTAACTTACACACCATCCCTCAGTCATATCACTCCTGTGCTTTCTCAACTACACTGGCTTCCAGTTCAATCACGTATTGATTTTAAAGTTCTTATCTTAACCTATAAAGCAGTACATGGGCTGGCCCCAGAGTATATTTGTAATTTGGTCACAGTGTCTACAACATCTAGGTCTCTCCACTCTGCTGGTTCTCTTACTCTGTACCAAACTCAAAACTATGGCTGGGAGGTCATTCTCTTGTATTGCTCCCAGG